ACATGGTTTTTTTTACCTTCCGCTTCACCCTGGATACATATGACTCTTGTCATAACAACAGGTCAATAGATTCGCCTCCCTATGACATTTATCCTGAAGCTGTGATACAGATGGACCCAACATGTTTGCAACCAGCAAGGAGGATAGTGCAGGGCCTTAAAAGGGCTCTAAGTTAAAAGAAACTCATCCCACTAGTGGTCGAAACTCTGTCCGAAGCGACACCTAGTTAAAACGCAGAAGCAATAAAAATAAGTCTTGTGCCACTGAGATACCCCGGACCCCGGGGCCTCTCGTCTCGCATGAAATTATTGTGTCTCTGAGTCATAACGTAACCAATAACGATAATCCTGTATTACAGAGTACTAGTGCTTTACCAGCACCTTCAGTGTCTTTTTTTTGCAGGGGACACGAGGCTCAGAGGAGTATTCAGCACCCCACCTCAGACCCTCAGCTCTCTTCACAACAGGGTAGCCCTTGTGGCTTAATCCCTGGGTAGGGAGCCCAGTAGTCTGGGCGTCATTTGGGGCACTTTTTTTATTTTTCTAATTGCTCTTCTTATAAGTGACTTTCCTGGAGCCTACCGGGTTCCATCGGAACTCCCGTATTCATTGGGGGGTGGGCATGAAATTGCCGGCTTCGCATAGGCAATGTCGGCGGTAAGGAGGTGGCCCACAAATAACCGATCCTCTGTGGTACTGGAGAACCGCAGCCAGGCTTACACTGTAGGGGGGAGAGGACGTTTAATGCCTTACTTCTAGCTATTGCTGTTAGGTGATACCAAAAGTGAAGAGTTTTTTTTATCCCTTCAGGGATATTGTGAAACAAGGTGGTCGGCCGGTCCGATACCCAGGATGACTGGACCACGGCTACCCCTTCTCATCAAGGAGGAGGGGCGACTCATGACCACTCTTGACAAATTCGACTAGAAAAATGGACCCCCACTAAGACAAAACGAGACGAACAATTTCAAAATACCCCACCCAGAATGCGAGGTTCGGAATGAAATGCCGTGAACGAAAATGCAATCGATTTGGAACGTGAACCCCTTTATCATCCCAAAAAAAAGGTCCTTGATGGTCTAAGTGGACGGCGATTTTGCGCGAGTGGAAGCCCCTTGTAAAGTACAATACAAACTCCCCGATTAAGGATTTACTTAAAGCTGACGCAAATTCATGATCTTCGAGGTAAAGGAACTATCCATTGACCCAAAGACCTGCAAGGGAGTAGTAATCTGTCCACAGGCACGGGGGATTTGAGACGACTAGAAGAAAGTGAAATGCCCTTGAGAGCTAGTATGAGGGACCAAGACGTAGGGACGTCATTGTATGACCAAGAAGGGACGGGAATGATTCCGATAAAGGACTGGGTTTGTGAACCGTTGCCTGCAATAAAACCATTGATATGTCAATGTCGTTATGAGCGGTTCAAGTACGACTTATGTCCAAAGCCAATCGCCATTGTAATAGATGCCCAAAAAATCGGAACACCTCTTAAGATGTATTGATTTAAAGGACTCTACTAAATTACTTGCAGCTCAATGTGCTGAAACCCATGACCCATCACATGTTAAGTAGCCAGAATTCAAATGTGCTACGGGAAGCGTACCCATCAGTCAGGATCTGCCGAGCGCAGGCATCAGAAGAAGGAGAGACTGAGACATTAGATTTTATATGAGAAAGCAATGAAGTTAGTATTACTGAGACTAAGAGGAAAGTTGAAAGTTTGCACACAAACCTGATACTTTCCTATGCTGCAGCACTAACTAACAACACCACTAGGCACAAGTGATGTATGTCAGTCAACAGCTGCGGCTAAGGATAAGGAAATTGCGAACTTAAATCAAAATGTCAAAGAATAAATATAAAGTTTATCAACTGACTAAAGTGGTCGATCAAATGGCTGCCATCAACCCAGCATAAACATCATAAGGAGGATGATACCGAATCACAGTCTGGAGAGACCTTCCCGTTCCGGGAAGGTGCGCCTCCTGTGAGGACTTAGTCTGGCGCGCGATTCGGCTTCTCGAGAGAGAAGCAGATCCAATAGGCCAGTCGTTCCCTCGCCAGGAGTTGCAGGACATGGCAGATTCTTTCTCCCAACCATCCCGGAGAGGTCCCCGGGAGCGAGGGAGAGGGGACGGGGCTTCCCACCATAACAAAAGAAAATTAGAATTGGTGGACAAGGCACTTCCAAACCCCATAAAACGTAATCTTCGTGTCGCCATTTTACAATGGAAACTGTCGAATGTATTAGGTCTAAAGTAACTGACCTTTAAATTTTAGACTCGTCTATGACCTCCCGATATATAGTTCTCCAAGAAACACATTTAACAGAATGTCTGCTGACGAGGTTGTTTCGCCTAAGGAACTACAATCGTTGTTGGAAGGATCGTTGAGGGTAGGGGTGGAGGCGGAGTAGCCACGTACAATCCATCCAAAACCCCCCGTTGTACAGAAGGGTGACTTGTGATCTACTTTGGTGGTTGTCGCATGCAAGTAAAATTATGGCACGTATCTGGCTATATGTTCAGTTTATTGCCACCTGATTACGAGATAATCTATGATGAGCTTTGCTAATTCAGGAAGTCTGCCAAAAAATAAAGTAATTTAGGTGATTTCAATGCTCAATAGAAGTGTGGGGGGTTCACGTGGCGGTTTTTTGATGGTAGAGGGAGCAATAGTAAGTTAATTAATGAGTCTGATTTAGTCTGAACGATGGTTAGTCCCACGCGGGCGTGGACGATAATACACGGTAATTTGAGCTGTATGGACCTATTCCAGATGGGTCTTTCTCAAGTAGCAGCTAAGGCCTGTGGCACACCTATTGACGCTCGTTGGGAAGGGGGGGGAGGATAGCGATCTTAGGAAGCGATCACTATTATTTTTATTGAATATTCATGCGACGTGAGAACGCCTTCAGCGCTCGATTTAACGTTAAAAGAGCAGAGGGTCGCCTTCACAAGGAAGCAGTCAAGCTCGAAATAGTTGGAAGAAAACCATTGATGATCAAAAGTAAACAAATTCAGAATTCGATGATAGAAGAAGCTTTGGATTCAATTCCAAACTTTCGACAAGATAGCGTTAAACATAGAGTTCCATGGTGGGACACCAGATTGCCGCAGTGGCGCTGTGCCGACGCAATAAGGCCTACAGGCTTTTCAAAAATAACATCACAAACGAGAACTTTTGCAATTACAAACAAGCAAGAGCTAGGGCTCGTAGAGTAATAAGACAAGCAAAAAGAGACTCCTGGCGGAGCTTTGTCTCTACAATCAATAGCAATACAAAATTATCAATAAAATCAACAAGAAAAAAATATCATTCAAAATTAAAAACATCAAAAAGTGCATTTCTGGTAATAAATGGGGAGCTGATAGACAGTCTTTGCTAATGATATATAAAGCCCTGATTAGATCTAAAGTAGATTATGGGTCAATCGTGTATGGTTCGGCATCGAGAACAAGTTTGAAAGGTTTGGATGCTGTGCAGAATGCTTGTTTGCGTGTGTGTGTTGGAGCCCTGAAATGTACTCGAATCGAGCGTCTTGAGGTGGAGTCAGGAGTACCTCCCCTCCGACTCAGACACGGCCAGTTAGCCCTGAGCTATGCTGCGAAGGTGGCTCGAGACCCGAACCACTCTAATGGCAATGGAGGCACTTGGCCCTTTGCCACGAGATTCCACGACCTCGTCGAGAAAGTCGGTATAGATATCTCTACCATCGATATCCTGGTTCAGTCAAATATAGCGCCATGGGAAACCCCCAATTTTTCTATCATGGAAGCCTGGCTTCCAACAACCAAGGCCATGACGCCGGAGGTGGAGGTATGCCAGAGGTTCAGAGAGATCCTTATTAAACATCTAAACTTTTTTCATATATATACCGACGGCTCCAAAACAGAAGATTATGTGGGTGCGGGTGTATGGTCGACTGAATGTGAACTAAAGTTCAGACTGCCGAATCATTTTTGCTATTGATAAAGCCATTGATTTTGCACTATAGAATACGATAGAATAGTTATTTTTTCTGACTCACTAAGTTCACTTAAAGCTATTAAATCCTTAGAAACCACTAAAAATGAATTGCTGGGTAATATCATTCGTAAGTTACATGGTGCCAACAAATCAATCAAGCTAATATGGGTGCCAGGCCACTCTGGTATCCATGGCAATGAACAGGCCGACAAACTAGCCGGGTCAACTGGCGATCTGGACACTGACATAGTTCGTACAGATCTCAGGTGTTTTGTGTCTCTTATAAAAGCAAAAATACATCTCCTGTGGCAAAGTGAGTGGACCAGCCTTCAACTCACCAGGAAAATAAAACCAGAAATAGAAAAGTGGGGGACATCCCATGGAAAAAACAGAAGGGAGGAGGTGGTTTGGCGCGCCTGAGACTTAACGCCACAAGGATAACCCACCTCACTCCGTATATAGAAAACAGATTCCCTCCACAGTGCCCCCATTGCACAAACATCCTCACAATAGCCCATCTCATAATAACCTGCCATAGATACAATAATTATAGACAGACCATAAAAAATTATTTCAGAATCAAAAACCTTTCACAATATCAAACCTTTTAGCAGATGATGAAAAAATAATACATAAAGTAATCGCTTTTCTAAGGGAGACAAAACTTTATGACCTTATATAGATTGATAGAATAAATAGGATCCATTAGCTTAATAACCTTGGCCACATACCGCTGGTTGATAGCCAAGAAATCCAACAAAGAAAGAAAGAAAAGAAACTGTTATATAAATCAACTACAGCATCTGAAAGTCTTCCTATGCCTGTGTTAATCCATTGTGAATCATCTCTAATAGCTGCCTGTCTAATGCTAATTGCCATCAAACAATGTATTTTTATTTTAAACCGTTTTCAGGACCTTTCCTTTGCAGGAATATTAATATCCAATCATTTATTTTTTGGATTTTACACCTAATAAAAAGGTCTTAACCAACGCTCACGTATGTTGTGGAGAAGTAAGATTTTCTGGCATATGAACTAAATAAATTTTATTTGGAATTGCACATCAGATTAATAATGTAATAACAAGAATAACAACAATCTTACAATGCAAGAAATATTTAGAACTATACACATAAATGCTAATACTCTCTTATCCTTTTATATCACAGGTCATGTTTCATAACAATATATCATTCCATCACAATAAATGACTACAACATTAGCTACCCTCCATAGCATTATGCTTAACTTTTCATCCAGTTTATCATATTTTTTTTGCCTTGACAGACGTTAAAAATATACACAATGGCCTTTGCAGCAAGAACTGAAAAGCTTCAGAATGCAATCATATAACAATGGGAGAACAGACCACATTTTTTTTCACAGCAGTATAAATAATTCACACAAATATTATTTCTTTTGGAATGGTGTTTTATCCAGCAGAAAAGAGGAATTTATGGTCTTGAAAACAATTATGTATTTGTTTATATGAGTAGACTAAAAGTGTTCTGTCTAGATATCTATGAGTTGAAATTGAAATGAAAAATAATAAATATGACTTGACTGTATAAACCATTTGAAGACACTGAATTATGTAAAGTAACCGAAAAGAACTGACATTGCACTTAAGTACTAGAAGTGTCACACACACACAGATGCACATTATATCCTCGTGGCATTACAATATGAATGATACAAATGGAATGAATGCTGTCTGTTTCAGGTGTTGAAATGGACAATGAAACAAAATGGGCATGATGTTGCACACACACACGCACGCGCGCGCACACACACATACACACACACACACATATATATATATAGATAGATAGAAAGATAGATAGATAGATACACACATTTATATATATATATGTATATATATACATACACACAAATACACACACACACACACACACACACACACACACACACACACACACACTCACACACACACACACATACACACACACACACACACACACACACACACACACACACACACACACACACACACATATATATATATATATATATATATATATATATATATATATATATAGTATATATATAAATATTTATATATGTATATATCTATACTGTTTGCGTCTTGCATTATATTTTTCATACTCTTAGAAAGTAGTCATTTTAATGTTAATATCTGAAAGTGAAAATCAGACACGAATTTGCCTCAGCAAATGTACTGTAAATCTGTATTAAACTGAATCTGATAATCCAAAAAAAATCAGCTACTTTAAAAGTTCAGTTATGTTTCCAAGCACAGTGATTATGAGGAGGTTTTGTATTGTCTAGTCTAAAGGTAATGCCTTTAATATTTCTTAGAATTTAAATATGAGATAACTTGATTGAAAAAATAAATTTTCAAGTGCTCATACCTACACAAACATCAGAAGTATATTTCTCACATCAATATCAAATCAGTAAAAAACACTGGAGATCAGTTTATGAAAAAGGGTGTAACAAAGTTTTCCCTTATTATTATCCTGCAGTTGTTCCCTATAAATAGGGGAAAGAAGCAGAATCACACTGTTTAAGGGTTTTCAGAGCTTTTGGGCCAAACCTGTAAACAAAGCTTCGTTCTGACACTGGTTGGAGAGCACCTGTTGCATAATGGTACCGAAGTCCCCTGGCAAAGTTTTCATAGCTAAGACACTCGCTCGCATGTTTGCCTGTCCTGCGTCCCCATCGCTGTGCTATGGCTGCGGGCTGGACTAAACGGAAGACACCAGATTCCTCATTCTCCCAACGAATTAGGAATGGATTAGTTGTTGGATCTTTAAGCAGGCGTACGAGGAACTCCCATGATTTAGGCCCTCGCAGTCGCTTTTTCCTGTTTGTTATTATCTTGCCCAAGAAAGGGTCAGTTTGATTATCTTTTTCATCAACCATTTCTGGGGAGCTTTTCTGACCACTGAGGTTAAGAGGTCCATCGTTTACAGACACAGTAAGTCTATCATTTTGTGAATTTGATGGAATCTCCGAAATAGGAGCTCCACCATTCACCATAACAGAACCTAAGTGCTGATTATGTACATGTAAACTGAAGTGAATCGGTGAAGTGTGAGAGTGGTACGTAGGCGGGGCCTTCACCAACAAATGGCTGCTATGACCATTCTCTTGGGAATCCTTTCTGCTGTATTTTGGTGGTCTCTCACACTCAACTTCATTAATCTGGAAATCAAATAAATTGTTTACATTTTGGAAGACTAGCTTATATACATGGAACATGCTGAAGACATCAATGGTAAACTGATTTGTGCTATATTAATATTGAACAGTAAAGATAAAAGAGCATTTGTATTTATCATTATTGTTTTGGTAATTACAGAAGCAATTCTCAAAGACCATAGTCCTTTAACACACACATTCATGTCCACACACACAAACATGCAGGCGTATTTTA